TTTTGATTTGTAGTCTAGTCGATTTGAGCTTGTAAGTCCTTAGGGGTGTTTAAATGTCTAATACCCTAAAGCCGTCTAGTTTAGGAGTCATTGACCTAATGCTCGACCTCATGGATCGCTAGAAAGCTTAATAGATCAACACATTGTACTATGCTTCCATATTTGATCCTTAGGGATAGGAATAAGTGCACCTAGATCAATAAAGATTTAATAAAAAGTCCACTCTTTATCTTGATGATCGGTACTAGATTTGTGTGCTAGTTTGAGGGTAAGGATGTAATCATTTCTTTAGTTGGCTTAGATAGCAACATATTTGATGCCATTTTACTCAAAAAGGATTCTAGAGTTGTTTTGATTTGCACGATCATTGTCTTGATGTGTTGAGGACTATACTTGTTTGTTTGATATTGAGATTTTAAGAGAATGCTTGGAAATGGTTGAAAAATTGCATACTTGATGTAGTTTTCTCCCAATGCTTGTTTGGAATATTGGTGCCTCTTTTGTGAGAATGAGCTTAATGTTTGTGGGTATCATTTCTAGAAACCCTCACGAGACTTCACTCATCCACTAGGGGTAACCTAGAGGTTTAAAAGGCTTGTTGCATATGCTAAATGCAATCGTGTTCCCTACGAAAGTGGCTTTATCCATTTATTATTTTTTAACTCAGAGTTGTATAGTTGTTTATTTCATTTCTTTGCTTCGTAGTTCATTGCTAGGGACTAGCAATATTTAAGTTTGGGAGTGTGATAAACGCTGAAAAGTGCGTGTTTAAACCCCTTAAGCTTGGGTATTCTAGGACCTTATCCTATCTTATTTTCCCATTTTAGTCTAATTTCATGTTATTTCCCTTTTCAGGCACTTATCCCCAAAATAAGTCAATTCAGCTTAATTAGAGCATAAAAGATACAATCTCAAGCTTAGAGGAAGAAAGGAGTAAAGTGGAAGCAAAGTGGTGGAAAACAAGAATCTTTGATCGATCAGACCAAGCTCAGATCAATCTCACAGTGATCGTTCCAGACATGCCAAAATGGATCGAGCCTCTTGTCCTTATCCTCAGGAAATTCCCATCTTCGATCAATCCAACATTACTTCAATCGATCGGACTTCTTTGATCTTATCCCCACTTACCACTTTTTCCTTTTCCCAAAATATCTCAAAAATATCTCAGATTTGTCATTATTCCAAAAAGGCGCCGCCATGGTTCGATTAATCTGACCACCCTTGTGATCGATCAAACCTCCTCAAGTGCGAGAAAAATAGAGTTTCAGCCAATTAAAAGGTGTACTCGTGGTGCAATCATTTGGAGGTCCTAGTGCACAAGGTCTGACCATTGGGTGTGACACTTGAGCTACCCATATAATGATTTTGGGCCATTTTATACATATACTATCTAAGAGAAATGAACCATATACATAAGAGAGGTTGGAGGAGTCTAGAGATTAGAGACACACACACACACCATTTGGGAGTTCTTCTACTCATCTAGGGTTTCCATCAAGGAGAAGAAGATCATTCCTACCATGGAGATGGCCCTTGAGGGTTGGATGACTATATCAATGAGTGGTTAAACCATTCTCTTGGGGCTAGAGATAGCCCTAAGCATACCTCCTAGACTTTGATGTTTTGTATTTTGAGGAGATTTGTGTTGTAACTCTTGTCTTGACATTTGATTTATATATGAATCTTATTTCTACAATAATTTGTGTAGTTTAATACTTCCAATTGCTCATTTCATTCTAATCATATGTCTATGTATGCTAGAATAGATGTTCATGTGTTTATCTCTATGTTTTGTAATATTGATGCATGTTTACGTGTGTTGATGCTATAAATCTAGTGATTTTCAAGGGATGGTGCTTTAATGGAATACTCTTCTGGTTTGTTTGATGGTTCAAACTCATTTCTTGATGGATTGTGTCTCTTCCTTAGTTTAATTTTCATGTCCCTTGCTTAGTTGTAGTGTAGTAGCATTACTTTCTTAGATGGGAGGACAATTCATGCTTGTTGTTTGATGTTCGATACTTTTGAATGCAAGTAGTATATTTCTCTAATTTGAAGATGTGTATTGATTATGGACTTAAAGGAAGGAATAATGGCTTAAGTTGATATGTTGTGCTATTCACTAGTTTGTCTAAACAATGTATACTTAATTAGTCATCCATGCTTGTTGATTCAATCAATGACACACACTAATATTGCAACATATAATCCCCCTCATTCATTGCACATTGAGTGTCTAGGAAAGTGATATTTAGTGGTCACCTCTAAGTCTCAAGATCCCTCTCTTATATTCTCTACATTTTACTTTACTTCAATTGCTTTACCTTGCATCCATTTAGTTGACGTTGTAGTTTAATTAACTAATCAAAACATCTTTGATTACTTGACCTACTAATCCGAGCCTGATTTCCAAGCATAAAACACTCCATTTCACTTGGGACGATCCCTACTTACCCTAGCTATATTTATAGTTAGAAGTGGTAGTGGCAATCTTTAAATTTAAAATTGGCCACACTACACTCCATTTTGCAGCTTGTGCTAGGCGCGCACCATAATCCTAGTTTAACTATTATATATAATGTATTTAAAATTAAAAATATATATGAAAGTAATATTAAGATTCGAGTTTGAGTTTGCTCGAGATGCTAGTACCTCAACCCAAACTCAACTCTAATTAAATTCGAGTTGAGATTTTTTAACCCAGACCCAACCCTATTTGTAAAAATAATTATCTGAGTCCACAAAAAATGAACGGGCTCAAGTTGGGTTCAGGTTGCCCAACCCAAATTGCACCCCTAACTCCATTGCAAGCAAGAATCATTTTTCAAATTCAAATTCGAAATTCAAATCAGAATATCCAAGAAAAAATTTGGATTAGTGTCTCTTCTATAAAAATAAATTAAATGTATCGAATTTGATCAAATTTTTGATATTATGTAATGCATATAGAAATTCCTCAATTGACATTCTCAATTAGACTGCTAGTTAGGTCTAATAATTTTTGTCATTATTACATAATCAGAAATGACAGTTTTTTGAAATCATATATATTTTTAATTAAGTTTTCAGAAAATAAGTTAATGAATATTTTTTTAATTTTTAATTATCTAAAAATAGAAATTTATTTTAAAATAACTAAACTAAATAGTTGCAAAACTTTTTGAGGGTAAGTGAGAATGGGAGATATGCAATGTTTGGTAAGAAAACACTTTGTTCTTTTTGTGCACAGAAGAAGTATGATATTTCATTAGTCCCAAATTAATGTTTATTTTTTTATTTTTGGCTATCACAAAATAAATGTTACATTAAGGCATCAACGAGCCAGTGGCCTAGCGGTATCAGCCTCTTACCTCCCAAAGGGAGATCAGGGATTCAAGTCTCAGAAAAGACAAGTGTGTGTGAGTACCAACTAGGAAAAAAAAATGTTACATTAAGGCTCCGTTTGTTTCAACGTAAAATATTCTTTTTGAAAAATAATTTTTTTTAGGTAAAATATTCTTTTATTTTTATTTTGTCTGTATTTGACAAATATCTACGTCAAGATTGAAGTCGAGTTCATTGGGCGGGACATGTAAAATAGCTTATTGAAAATTGATGGATAAGTTATTTTTGTTAAATTTTAATATTTTTTTTCGTAAATATTTTACGACAACTAAACACCACAAAATAAAAAATTATTTTTTAAAAAATATTTTACGTCCAAACGAACGGAGCCTAAGTACTACTTTTTGTAACATAATCAATTTAACATTTTTGCATTCCTCGTATCAAAGATAAATCATCACATTTGTGGACGCACTATGAATATATTTGTTAATTTATTCATTATCAATACAATATAAAAATATAAAAACACATTCTTAAAAAGTTAAATTTTTTAAAAGAAATATTTAATTTGGGAGTTAGATATTAGATATAAAATTATTAGGGCATTATTTAATAATCTAATTAGTAGAGTACTAAGTATATGTATATATATAATTTTTTTCTTTTTTTTGGAATTTTTATAGTATAATATTATATTTCAGGTCACAGAAAAGTACAATTTTATGTGAATTGAAAAAACATATGCTCCGTCTCTATAGCCATCACTTTCTTGGGGGACCCCAATTTCCTATTGTGGCTTTTGGTTGGACCCAGCCTCTAATTTTCTTATCTGCACCTTTCAACATCTACTTTGGATTTTGGCTGGCTCACACTAACTTGCTCACCACAACTTCTGTATTTGGATGCTTTAAAAGACTTTGTGATGTTCACATGTGTGGATATTATTACTTGCAAGCCAAGAAACTCTTCTTCTCTCTCCTCCAGATTTTTAATTAATATAATCTCTGCAATAATTATTGAAATAACACAAAAATTAACATAAAGTTAAACAAGTTAAATAAGGACTTTTAAAGTATACATATTATAATCAAGCATAATCAAGCCATACAAAATGCAACACACCCTTGATTTTTATATAGTAAACAAAGATTAGCTTCAAATATGTAGGTATGTGCCTATTTGTATATTTCAAATATGTAGGGGTCTGTGCCTAAATATATATATATATATATATATATATATATATATATATTTGGTAAGTAGTAATTCAAAAACTCAATTGCTTATGTAGACACTTGAACTCTCACATTCTATTTTAAAAGGAAAAAAAATTATCATTAGACCTATGACTTTAGCAAACAAAATATTGTTTACAAGTAAAAGAAATTATGATCCCTTCAATATAAATGATACAACTCCAACTCAAACAAAGACTTGTTCAATTCTTAATTAAGGTTCACATTAGTTCTAATATAACTCTCCCTCCCCCATAACACTCCAATGCCAAATTCAATATCAATTTCATGTTACCGAACTTATTACCATGTAACAAGTTTAGCGAATCGATCTTGCTTGCTCTGAAATCACACCTAATTATATAATCGTGTAACTATGACTATATTTCTAACTATACACTTAAGACACCAATTTCGTGTCACCGAACAAAGACAATGTTCAAATAAAATACGCCTCAATTTCATATTATCGAGTATGGTTAACATAACACCGCAACAACATAGGACTAGTAATCAACAATACTGGGTATACAATATCTCTTTTGTATCATCGATCTCCCTGCCAAACTACCAAAAAAAAAAACAAAGGTATGATTGCATAGGCAGAAGGATCAAAACTTGAGGAAGAGACCTCCCAACTCAACTGAATTTGGCAGCACTTGGATACTCATATCACAAAATTGGATAGACAACAAGCCAGACTCACCACCAAAACTGAAAAACCCTCTCTCTGTCTCTCTCAAGGCTTCACAACCATCACCCATTTCCCGAATTCGGACGAACCACAAATGCTTGTCCCACTTTTGGGTTCACATTTAGGTACACCAACGACTAATTCTCTGTTTGGAGAGCCAGAAACCGAGACTCTCTTGCAGTTCTCGGAGAGCCACTTGGAGTGCATGTAACTGGCTTTTCTCCACGGAGGAATGTGGAGACCTCTCTCCTTCAGTGATTGCTTTGCGGCGGAGCAGAGCAGAGAGATGATGTTGTTGAGCTTCTCCTCGGTCCCAACAAATATTGATGGCAGAGCATTTGAGAGCTCTGAGTAGGTTGATGTTGGCCTCGCCAATTCGAACTGGGACTTGAAATCCATGTCCACAATCAACCTCACTGTTTCATCACTCCGACGTCTATCGTCCTTCATCATCACATCAATATACTCGTAATCACCTGTAAATTGGAACACTTAAACATCAAAGAACATCAAAATCAGAAATGGGTTTTCAATTTTCATGATTAAAATCATATATATACATATATATATATATAGAGAGAGAGAGAGAGAGAGAAGAGAGAGGGACCTGAAGGGCGACCAAAAGTAGTAACCCAAGTGGTTTTACAGAGGGAAGCTTCATAAGAATCCATTTTCAATTTCAAGACAATCCATTCCTTTATATTATTGTTGTTGGTCTGCTCTGTGTGTTCCATATCTTTCAAGTACAATAAGATTTTCTCAAGAATCTCTATCTCACCATCTGTGACCCTCCCAAGAATGTCCTGAATTACACATATGTAGGTACAAATCAGATCCAACATATATATTTCAAAACCCCCATAAAAAAACACACACACACATAAACACACAGACTACCTGTAAACTGATGAGGTGAGTGGGTTGATGATGAAATTGGATGGGTTTGAAAGAAGTTGGGGAAATGGGAGAGGAAGGGTCTAATTCAATGAAGTCTCTAACCATCTGAATCAGTTTTTCTTCTTCTGAGCTACCCATTTGATTTCTGTATCTCTACTTTTTCTTCACAAGGAGGAGGTGGTTTTGTGCATTTGTACACTTGGTGTGTTGTGAGTGTTGAAGAAGGAATATTCAATGCAGTGTTTTTTTCTAGAAGAAATTAATTAACCTTGGTGTATTATATATATAATAAAACGAAGGATAAATTAGTGTGGTGAAATCAAACGTACAAGTATATATTTGGGCATGTATGACGTCATTATTAATTAATTATGTCACCATCGTCGACTCATAACATACACTGGGCTCTATGTCATCTCTCTCTCTCTCTCTCTCTCTCTTAACTATCATCGTCGTCTGCAAGATCCTGCGGAGCCGTAAAGGTGGCAAAACTGTAAATTCATATTTGGGCAGCGTTCATTATTAATTTTTCTTTCTCTCTCCGTGTCATAATGTAGCTTACAGACTACTACCACCACAGTAAGAAAGAATATGATTACATAAATTAAAGTCATGTCGGACCAAGTAAATTGTGAATAAGGAGGTGATATTCACTGTGTCACAAATCCAATATATATTATATATTGTTTTTATAAATAACTACTTGATTCTCTTATGAGTTAGTTTGTAATTGACATCCAATCATTTATTTTTGAACAATACTTAGTTATTTATTAGTGCATAACTTCATTTTACTCACCTCTTATGTGTTCTAATAATATATATATATATTTTTTGACCCAACAAACAAACAACAAGGATAGCCCAAAATCAATTCCGACAATCCTTAGTTATTAAAAGGCAAATATGAATGGAAATGTGGACAAGAGCAACATCATGTAAAAGATGACCTCTGGATAGTGCTACAAGAGCATTAGCCACCTCATTGCCATGCCTTGTAACATGGCTAAGACAGGAGGAGGAGAAATCCCGAAGCACCACATGCACATCATAGGAAATAGCCTGAATTTTCGTAGGTCCAGAATCAACATTCAAAATAGCATTCACTACCGTCAACGAGTCGGATTCAAACCAAACCTTAGAGAATTGATAGGACAATGCCCAAAAGACAGCCTTACGAAGGCATAAAGCTTCGGCCACAGTCACATTCGAAACCGAAAACTGACTGAAAATCACTGCTCCAAGATGGCCCCTGATGAGTCTCAAAAAACAGCGCCACCACCTCCCATCTGAGAAAAAAAATAAAAAAAATAAAAAAAGAAAGAGGCATCCATATTACATTTAATCATATCTGGTGGCGGAGGCATCTAGCGAGAAAGGGAAGGTGAAGAGGGAGATGAGACAACCTTAAGCCTTTCCCGGGGCAAAAACGATGGCGATGACAAAGATCCTTCCTTAAACTCCAAGAAAAAGGACCCCGACAGCCCTACCACCCGGTAAGCATCCCATAACTCCCCAAAAAAAACTAATTTGTTGCGAGCCTTCCAGAGAAACCAGCAACAACAAGCCACAAACCCAAGCACATCATGACCACCCTCTTGCGACTGGCGAGTCAGACCTAGTCACCAATCACTAAAGGAAGCCGGGTGATCCGTAGTAAAATCAAACCGAAGTGGGAAGAGCTTCCAAACCTGAAGTGAATGGGAACAATGAAAAAACAATGCTCAATAGTTTTCGCCTGCATGTAAGGCACAACGTGGGCACACAATGTTAACATCTAGCCTATGAGCAAGCAAATGCTCATGCACCGGAACTACAAGCTTACAACACTTCTACAAAAAATGTTGTCACTTAGGCAGCACTTTACATGACCAAATACTCTTCTACAGGAGCTGACAGGAAGAAGAGAGAACCATTTCCCCAGAAGAGTCTGTTGCCTAGTCAAAAGTCGGTACGCCAAAGGATAGGCTGACTTCATAGAAAACATACCATTAGACTCCAAGTCCCAAGCCAACCTATTTGGTTTGGCCAAAACACTAAAACTGCATTTTAGAATGGCATCAATAGTAACTGGCGGAAACAATTGACAAAGCAAAGGCACATTCCAACCATGAGAGGAATCATCCAACAACTCAGCCACAAATTGAGGGAGCTCAGAAGCTGTGGGACTAAGAAGCAGAAATGAATGCCCTGGGATCTAACGATCAAACCAGATATGAATAGACTGGCCATTACCCACTATCCACCGCGATCTGGTAGAAATAATAGATTGCGTTGACTAAATGCTTAAAAACTACTTCCAAGAAAGAATAATCAGGAAAATATTTAGCTTTAAAAAGCTTAAATGTTAGCCCTCTATTGTGGACCTGAAAGTTCCAGCCATGCTTAGCCAACAAGACTAAATTAAAAGCTTCCAAACTACGAAAGCCTAATCCCCCGTCCTCCTTAGGAGCACATAACTACTCCCAAGCAACCCAGTTAATACTAGGAGAAACACCCGACTTTACCCACTAGAATCGACGCACATGCTACAATAGAGATAAATATAACTTACGGGTCAACCGAAAGCAAGACATCTCATAGGTTGGTAAAGCTCCCATAATAGCCTTAATTAAAATTTCTTTCCCAACAGGGGATAATAAAAGAGATTTCCAGGATGCTAACCGATCAGAAACCCGTTGCATAATATAATAAAACACATCCCATTTGGAACAGCCAATAATGGTTGGCATACCCAAATACTTAGCACTAAGCCCATCATCTCGAATCTCCAACAATTGACATAGGTCGGACTTAACCTCCACAGAAGTATTTTTAGGGGAAAAAATAGAAGATTTTGAAAAAATTATTTTCTACCCTGAAGCTTTTTCATACCTTTGAAGAAGAGTTTTAAGAAATTAAATTTCTGAGGTAGAAGCCTTATAAAACAGAATGGAATCATCAGCAAAAAATAAATGTGAGATAACTGGAACCCATGGGCATATGCGAATCCCTAAAAGGACTTTATGCTAAATTGCCTTTTGCAAAGAAAAAGGAAAGGCTTTTGCACACAAGATAAATAGGTAACGGGATAAAGGATCCCTTTGACGTAAGCCTCGAATAGGTTGAAACATCCCCACAGACTGACCATTTAAAACCAAAGAAAAAGATACCGTAGAAATGCAAGCATATATAAGTTTAATCCAACGAGGATGAAACCCTAGTTTATCAAGCATAGCTATCAAAAAAGGCCATTCGATACGATCATAAGCCTTACTCATGTCAAGCTTTAATGCAAGAAGAGCATGCTTACCTTTTCGCTTATTTTTAAGATAGTGCAAGACCTCATGTGCAATCAGAATATTATCAACAATATGTCTCCCAGCAACAAAAACACTTTGGGAGTCGCTAATAATGGAGGTCATGACTTCTTTTAAGCAATTGGTGAGTACCTTTGTAACAATCTTATAGGAGACATTACATAAAGAAATAGGACGGTAATGGGATACCTGGGTAAGGATATCCAATTTATGAATGAGCACAATATTAGTATGATTCATGCTTTTAAGAAAATACCCTGAATGTATAAAACTACCCACTGCTGTAGTAACGCCATACTTAACCACATGCCAAAATGTTTGGTAAAATAAAGGGGTCATACCATCAGGACCTGGAGCTTTAAATTGTTACATTTCAAAGACTGTACAACGATCTCCTCCTCTGAAGGGGTACGAATTAAGTGTTGATTCATCTCATGATAAACTCATGTCGGGACATAGCGAAGAAACTGATCAATACCGTTCGGACATTGGGTATGGAAAAGGTCCTGATAGTAGTGCAAGAAAATTTGCTAAATTTGGAAATCATCCTCGATCCACTGTCCATTAGAATCTTCAACACCGGAAATGTGATTTCGATGTTGTCGCCGAATAGTAGAGGTATGAAAGAATTTAGAATTCTTTTCCCCTATCCGTAACCACTGAATTCGAGACTTCTGAGCCCAATACAATTTCTCTTGCCACCAAAAGGATTGTAACTGACACTCAAGTGCAAGAACCTGCTCATGATCATAATCATCCAACCTCTCCTTTAAGTGATGAAGACGAGCCTCAGCATTTTCAATATTTTGGCGAGAATTATGATTCAAGGTTCGGACCCATTGAATTAAAGCTTGCTTACAAGATTTAATTTTCTGGGACCAGCAAGACAATCAAGAACCATGGATTGATACTTGCAATGTAGAACAAATAATGTTACTACACTGAGGGTCATTCACCCACCGGGCATCGAAATGAAATTGACACGATTTTCGAGTAACAGGCGGCAACAGACCAAGAAGGAGAGCGTAATGATCCGATCCCGCAATAGAAAGATTATGATACCCCCGGATTTCTGGATGCGGGTTGGCTAGGCCCACGCCCGATTACCCGAGGATATCAAACCAATTAGCAATAAATGAACACAGAATACAATTATGATAAACATGAATAAAAGAAAATTGCTGAAAAGATACTAAAGTGATAATCCAATAATGAAAACCTTAGAATAAATTTCCATTGATTAATAAAGTCTTCTGATAACAACTGATCCTCTAAAATACAACTCGGGAATCCATACCATGTGGACTCCTAGAAAATCCAAGTTGACGAAAAAATAAATAATAATAATAAAAAGAAATCCAAAGCTAAATACAAATAGCGATCCTACACAGTCGAAAGAATGAGAAACTGTCTCCGTTCAGCACGAACAAGCTCTAGGACTGGAACCGTCCGATACCTGAAAAATAATAGTGGGTCAGGCCCACGAACAAGTTTTATCCTGACTACAATCCAAACAGAGACCCGATACGCAGATACATCCTAGATGTCTTAACCATATCTATATAGTCTGTAAATAAATATATATATATATATCCACACTATAGGACTCTCACTGGACTATGAGGGTCTCAACCTGAATAGAGGACAACATGCAAAACGCACCTGAGTGGGCATGACTACCTAAGCCTAACAGGGTATACCTTAACCAACATAGCTAGCTACGCATCCTACTGCATATACGCTCCCTAACCGTCAACTATGAGACTCAAAGCTCATATCGCGGTATCATAATTATATATATAAATTGTGACGGCCTAAGTTTTCTAAACTCGGTGTGTCAGTGATGACCAAAAGATGACCCGATAATAGATTCGAAATACGGAAGCAAAAGGTAAAACAAGGTCTCTAGAGATATAACGCGTCTCTAAGACACCAATGTGACCCTCAATGAGGTCACGGAACCCAGAGAAA